GAAGCGGTTAAGCCAGAACAGAACCCCCAAAGCAACTTGCACTTGGAGTTTGTGGGTGTTAGGAAGGCATAGCCAATTTTTCTGCGTAGGCTGTGGTTTTTGTCTTCTCCCTAAATTAAGCATCAAGGTTCTCTGGTCTTCTTGTGTTGCATCTCTTTTAGATAACACATTTTTTTAATGTGCAGAAATGTTGTAGAAATAAATGTTATTTCTAGAGTGACAGAGAATTCTAAGTTTCATTTTCTCTGCCTGCTGCTTTTCTGGTTGAAGAGGAATCAACCATAGGCCTTTTATTGGAGTTCAGAGAAACGCATTTTAGACATTACTTAGTATATTAAGTGCTTTCATTTGTTAATGATGTTTTCTATTTCTGAGTGGTTTCCTCACTTTCCACGAGGTGCATCGCTACATCTTGCTACAAAATTAAAGTTCAGGATATACAAATTTTGAGAGGGGACTTGATGTTCAAAATATTGTAGTAGGTCCAGACACTGGAAACCTTGTAAACCATACACATCCCAGGGTGGGGGTGGGAATGGAGGATGGGAGGGGCTGGTTGGCCTTAGGATTGGTGTAGATTCTGCTCAATCCTGCCTGCACATATAGTATTTGTAACTCTTAATATTTGGAGTTATTACTGGAGACCGAATCATCACCATAGTAAATTATGAGAAATATAGTTTAAAATATTTTATTATTATTATTTTAAATGGAGGTTCTAGGGATTGAAGCCAGGATCTTATGCATGCTAAGCATGCGCTCTCCCACTGAGCTATATGCCCCACTCTGAGAAATATTTTTATTGAGTATATTTTGTTCGCTGCTCTGTTCTGGGGTATGTGGTAGGTGCTCCATAATACTTTGAATGAGTAGATAGTATTTTTAAAACACTGGGGCTTTTATCACCAAAGCCGTTCTGTTTTTATAAATAGAATTAGAGGAGATGATTTAAATTAAATCTTTGGTAGTAATTTGGAAGTGTTTCCCAGCTGTAGACCAGATACTTTCCCATATACTTTAAAGAAATTCTCAATGCTTTTTAAGCAAAAGAATCAGAGCTGTAGTGCATATAAATAGCTTAACATCAAGGAGGATTTTTCTTACACAAAATGGTTTATTTTGGTGAGTAAACCTGTTCCCAGAATCGAGGGGTGGGAGCAGGGTAGGAAAGTAAAGAGTTGACCATTGTGAAAGCCATTAACATGTGGTGGCAAAAGCCATGCTACTAGTGACAGTTATACACCACTCATGTCTTATTAGCTGAAATTCAGTCCTTTATTATTTAGGTACAGAATAAATAAATAAAAATAGAAGCAATGTCCTTTCCCTCATATTTTCTTCAGTATGTTGAAAAAAACCTCTTTCACTTGATCTGAATAAAAGCACACCACAACTATGTCATCTAGGTTATTTAAAGTGTAACATTTGTACAGCACAGACCTCACATTCATGTATATATGTGTTTTGTATATATATATTTATTGAAGTGTAGTCCGTTTACAAGGTTGTGTCAGTTACTGGAATACAGCGTAATGCTTCAGTCATACACGAACAGACATGAGCATTCTTAAGTTCATACTTAATGGAGTAGTGTAAAGTGAGTTCCAGACATAGTAAATGCTCTGTACTTCGTTCTGACTGGTACATTTCTCAGTGGCAGGGATCATGTCTTCGTAACACAGGTATAATCTCTATCTTACGCATCACCTGTACTTTAAATGGCTACGTGTCCCATTTTGTGGAAATTTGTAGAACTGTGATTGTCAAACTTGAATGTATATAAGAATTATTTTGAAAAAAGTTTCCTGGACCCCATCCCCAGGGATTTTGATTTTATAAGTCTGGGGTGGTCCTGGCATCATAGGTCATTCTGATGCAGATGACTCATGGATCCTAATCTGAAAAATGTATTAGTGAGTCTTTGATTTTACAATGAGTGAAATTGGAAAAAGCAGGCAGGTGTTGTTTGAGGGCATACCACTGTTCAGTAGTGTGTTGATTCTGGCCGCATTCTTGCTCCAAAGTATCAGCTTCCAGGCAATCTTTGCGGATCTCTAAATGTTTTAAACTTTGATTCCCTGCCCCACCCCCAATTTTGATTTCTTAAGTTGCCTAAATAATAGTTTGCGGCCTAGAGAATTGGAGAAGTTGAGGAGAGAGATGTTTACATTCACACTTTTTATGATTTAGCTAAATAAATTGCTTTCCTCTTTCTCTAGCTGAGGTTCTTTGTGTGGAAACACCAGAAAACGGGGAGAGAGAAGGTTGATACTTTTAAACCGTGGTGTTCTTTGCAGGTGAAGAAGATAAGACTTAAATGACATTTGTGACTCGACTTGGGAAATATAATCACTATTTCTTAAGTTGGGAATTGGAAGGTGGAGCCCTCCAGGTATGTAATCCAAACCACCACTAGCACAGGAGTCCCGATACAGGTGGCGTTAACCTGAGACTCTGGCTCGGTGTTGCTGGTAACGTACCTTTCACCTTGCATTTTATTTCAGTCATTGCAGTGCTCCACCTTCAGTAATTCAGACAAATGCGAAAGGAACTGGAGTCTTGCCTTTTAAATGACCAACTCACAAACCAACTTTTTAATTTAATTTAAAAATTTAAATATAATTCATGTAATATAAAACCCAACATTATAAAGTACATAGTTCAGTGGTTTTTTCGTATATTCACAAGGTTCGGCAACCATCAGCACTGTCTAATTCCAGAACATTCTCATTACCCCAGAAGGAAACTCCAAATCCATTAGCACAGTCCTCATCAACCCCCCAACCCAGCACCTGGCAACCACTAGTCTACTTTCTGTCTCTATGGATTTGCCTATTCTGGACGTTTCATATAAATGGAATTGTACAATCTGTGGTCTTTTGTGTCTGGCCTCTTTTGTTCAGCATAGTGTTTTTCAGGTTTGTTCATGTTGTAGCATGTATTAGTACTTCATTACTTTTTATGGCTGAATAATATTCCTTTGCATAGATATGCCACAGTTTGTTTATCCATTCATTAGCTGGTGGACATTTGGGTTTCTACTTTTTGGCTATGTTGAATAATGCTGCTGTGAACATTGTTTTACAAGTTTTTGTGTGAACATATGTTTTCAGTTCTCTTGGGAATATACAGTTGACACTTGAGCAAAATGTATTTGAACTGCGAGGGTCCATTTATGCAGATTTTTTTCCATAAATACATCAGTACTACACGATGCATGGTTGGTTGAATCTGTGGATGTGAAGCTGTGGCTACAGAGGGCCAACTGTGTAGTTAAATGCAGATTTACAAGGGCTCAGTGTCTCTGACTGCTATTCAGGGATCTGCCGTACCTAGGAGTAGAATTGCTGGTTCATTTGGTAACTCTTACTTAACTTTTTAAGGAACGGCCACACTGTTTTCCATGGTAGCTGTACCATTTTACAGACCTCTGTCAGTGTGTGAGTGTTTCAGTTTCTGTACACTCTCATCAACTCTTGTTACTGTCTTTTTTTAAGTGTTTAATTATTCTAGAATTCTTTATTTAAAAGGAAGCAGACGCACTTCCCCTCCTACTACCTCCTCTGCCACTATTATTTACATTAGCTCTTTCTGGAATCTTGTTCTCTCCTGCTTGATATGCCTACATTTGTCTTGTGTTTGTAGAGATGGTAGCTTCATTAAGTTTAGTAATTTGGTGCCAAATACTGATCTGAATTTTCATTCCTTCGTTGTTTTTTTGTGAGTGTTTTTAAGTAAATTTATGTTTTTCCCTTTTCTTTTTTTCTAGTTTTTCTGTGTAGATCATGTGCTGCTTCAGTTTTTTTTAAATTTTAAAAACATTGAGGTGAAATTTATATAGCATAAAATTAGTTACTTTAAAGTGTGCAGTTCAGTGGCATTTAGTACAGTCATAATGTTGTGCAACCGCCACCACTGTCTAGGTCCAAAACATTTTCATCACCCCAAAAGAAAACTCCATATCCATTAAG